CACCATCACCACCACTCGCGCGGCAGCACTGCGCTGGATTGCGCTGCACCGCCCTCTGCTGCCCACACCACGCAGCAGCAGCAGCAGCCGACGCCCCCCCCCCCCCCCCCCCCCCCCATTGTGCGCGGTGGACACCCACCCAGGCACCCAGACCCAGCCCGATGCAGCCCATGGGTCCGTGACCACCGTGACCACCGTCTCCACCGAGACCACCGAGACCAACGTGACGAGTTATTGACCAACGAGGTGCTCGAGGAATTCCAGCGATTCGAGAAAGTCAGAAAAGCGAAGTGAAGGAGGCGCGTGTCCCCCCCCCCCCCTCATCGTGCCATGGCGGTCAGTCCGTCAGCTCGGCTGTCGTTGCACAAAGACAAAGACAACACGCGAAGCGACAACTTCCTCGTGCAATCCGCCTGCACATTCCCACCGTGCATCTAGCAACAACATGTCCCCCCCCCTCCCCAACTCCCTTCTTTGTTCAAAGTGCACCCATTAAACACGGCGGACAACCGCTCGTCCCTCCACATTCTCATGGTGCACGCGCTGATAATAGAACACACGACGGCGAAATATCACGCCAGTCTGCGCATTCCCATCGTGCATCCAGTAATCGCGGTGGCCTATGCCCATATCGACGCATTTTGGAAGTGCACCCAGAAACACGGGGAACAGAGGGAGCAGAGGTGGCCGGCTGGCTCGGAGATTCGAGCGTTGAGCCGGCACCGCCGAGGTCCGGGTCCGGGTCTCGACCCCGCGTGGTTGAGCCTGGCTCGCCGGTACGAACCAGGAATGCCAAAGAACAACATGCCCGCCGCGTGTCGTGCAGCGTCATTGACGCCAACGGCATCTCAAGAGTCTGCCGCGGGACTGACGACGCGCCGCGCAACGTTCCTTGCGGAGGCGCAGGGACACACGGAGCAGCGGGAAGGCAGCCGGGACCGGCGCCACCAACGAATGCTCAAGCTCTGGGGTCCGATCTTGGGATGTTTGACCAACCCCACCGATGACGAGTGTTGGTACACGTGGGAGGAAACCCGAGGCAGTTGGGGTGCGACGGGGTTGGATGACCGATGCGCCAGGGAGAACATCTCCCTGGCGCAGGGCGCCCCGAGTGTGGGCGAGAGCCGCGTGAAGGGACCTCAGGAGTCGTTCTGTGACAGCTGCTTTCGCGGGACGTTCTCTGACACGACGTGGTGATGCATCGCTTCCTGCGGGAGATGTCAGCAGGCACTCTGTCCGGTGACATCTAAACAGAGAAACGCAGGCGCCAGACGACCCTTGCAGTCCCAGAGTCTGTCAGAGTCTCCCCGAGTGAACCTGGCGGAGCCTGCCCATCGGGGTGGACATCGGTGTTGGTCGGCCTCGTGTACGGGTCGCGACGAACAACGTCGCACAGATCTTGAGCGACGCTTCGCGCAGTCTCGAGACTCCGCTTCAGGGCTGGCCGACGGCTGCGGCAGCCCGGCCGAATGTGTCTAACACGCCGCTCGCAGAGTCGCAGTTTGCTTCTGTCGGTCAGATCGTCGTGGAGGTCTCATGCCGGCGGCCTGCAGCTGGAACCCGGCTCCAGCAGCCGGCAGAGCCAGCCCAGGTCGCCGTCACGGCAGGGGGGGGGGGGGGGAATGTGCACAAAATGCTTCGGGTTTTCAACAACACCGAGAGGAGGAATGTGGCAGATCGAGCACCAGTCGACAATTCTCTTTCCGAGATTTCGCTGGAGATTGCATTCAGCTTCTGCGAGCGAAGGTCAATCGCTCCACAAAGACACCGCAACTCTCCAGAGCTCCACAAAGACACCGCAACTCTCCAGAGCTCCACAAAGACACCGCAACTCTCCAGAGCTCCACAAAGACACCGCAACTCTCCAGAGCTCCACAAAGACACCGCAACTCTCCAGAGCTCCACAAAGACACCGCAACTCTCCAGAGCTCCACAAAGACACCGCAACTCTCCAGAGCTCCACAAAGACACCGCAACTCTCCAGAGCTCCACAAAAACACCGCAACTCTACAGAGCTACATAACACCGCAACTCTACAGAGCTCCACAAAAACACCGCAACTCTACAGAGCTCCACAAAAACACCGCAACTCTCCAGAGCTCCACAAAGACACCGCAACTCTACAGAGCTCCACAAAGACACCGCAACTCTCCAGAGCTCCACAAAGACACCGCAACTCTCCAGAGCTCCACAAAAACACCGCAACTCTACAGAGCTACATAAAAACACCGCAACTCTACAGAGCTACATAAAAACACCGCAACTCTCCAGAGCTCCACAAAAACACCGCAACTCTCCAGAGCTCCACAAAAACACCGCAACTCTACAGAGCTCCACAAAAACACCGCAACTCTACAGAGCTACACAAAAACACCGCAACTCTACAGAGCTACATAAAAACACCGCAACTCTCCAGAGCTACACAAAAACACCGCAACTCTCCAGAGCTCCACAAAAACACCGCAACTCTACAGAGCTCCACAAAAACACCGCAACTCTACAGAGCTACACAAAAACACCGCAACTCTACAGAGCTACATAAAAACACCGCAACTCTACAGAGCTACACAAAAACACCGCAACTCAGAGCTACACAAAAACACCGCAACTCTACAGAGCTCCACAAAGACACCGCAACTCTCCAGAGCTCCACAAAGACACCGCAACTCTACAGAGCTCCACAAAGACACCGCAACTCTACAGAGCTCCACAAAGACACCGCAACTCTACAGAGCTACACAAAAACACCAAAGCTCTCGTGAGATCCAAATTCAATGACACCTGATGATGCCGAGCGCCATCTCCAGCGAAACTTCGGGATATAAAATTGTCAAATTATGCTTAGGCTTTTTAACATCCCTCCTCATCCTTCGGTGTTGCCGATATAAACCAAATGGCTTGGTACATTTTCCCATAATGTGGCGACTTGATTTGCTGTCGCTGGGTAGCGGAGGGTTCTAATTAAAACTGGCACCGGACCCACACGATGCAACCCAACAGAAACACACAAAGAATCGGTACAATCGGGGCCATGAAAACGATCTCTGGTTTGCTGCCGACAGGCAAGCTGACGAGATATGGTTCCGCAAGCCTCGGAACGACAAACACGATATTTTTAGCGGGCAGGATTCTTTGTCACCTAATCACTCTGTCTTTCACTCTTAATCTCGCGCAACTGCCATGCCGGCTATGCGCTTCCTCGTGTTTCTCTGCGCACTTCTCAGCTTGCAGCAGCGGCAGCAGCAGTTCGCCAGCGGCAAACACGGAGCCGGCGCGCTCCTCGCTCTCGACGCGGCGGCGGCGACGAGGACGGTCGTCCGTGTCGCCCATGTCGCCACAGCGCTCCAGTCCGCTCGCATCCCCACCTCGTTCGTTCATCATCTCACGCCGACCCCCCTCCAACAATAGTCCTGGGCATAACGACTCTGCGGCCTTTTCCCATGGCGCATCTCCGATAGGAGTCGAGTGGCGCAGTCGCACTCGGCTCTTTGCGAATCTTCTCGCCCAGGAGCTCGCGTGGCCTGGCCCCACGATGCCGCGTGGACTCCCGCGGGCGCCGTCGGCCCGAGCCTCGCGCTACTCACGCATCGCACGCACGACTCCCCTCCCATCATCAGCAGCAGCATCATCAGCTTCTAACAGAGAAACTCGCCTGTTGTGGACTGACGCTGAAGCCGGTAGATCGCTGGCGGTGCGCACTCACTCACACACTCACTCACCCACCCACTCGCACGCGCGTGCGTGAACAGCAGCAGTGATCACACAGCGTGGGATAAGAGCTGGTCAGCAGAACCCCGTTTGCGAGCATCAATTAACGTCGGCGTGGTCAAATCGACAGGACAGACCCACGCACGGCCGCCTTTGTATCTCCATTGCTAAGGATCACGACCAAAGCGCCGCACACAAAGGAACCCTACAATTTTAGCCCGAGTCGACCTAGGGGAAGCCCACCCAGCATTAATATTGTTGGCCCAATGGCCAGGCTGGAGTCACAGTCACGCACGACACCCGAGGTAATGGAGTCTCCAAAGCAGGGCCGGGCCATCCCGAGCTCGGCTCGGCCCAACTTGGAACAAAGTGGTGTTCGCAGTCGGTGCGTCGGCAGCGGTGCACAAGGCGCGGACAACGACACAAACCCAACACATTTCATGGAAACAATGTATGAAAGGCAACGTTTCGGGCAATGTCCCTTCATAGCACATGGTAAGTGCACAGTTGCGGTCCGGGCTGTTCCAACTTACGGTGGAGGCCTCAATAGGTGCTCGCAGACAGCCTCGCTGTCCTCACGGGCAGCTGTGTCGCCTTCTCTGTGTGAGAGATCGTGCAGGAATGGGAGAGATCAGCTGATTCATTCACCTCGCACGTGACGACCCGGCGGGAGCTACAATTATATAATTACGTTACCATAATTATGTAATCATTAATTGTATGAGCAACGGGGAGCTGATCAACTGCACGTGTTGCCAGATTCATCAGGCGTGGCGCCTCCAATCAAGAGCCCCGAGGCGAATGAGCGAGACAGTCGTGAGTCATTGCACTCCTCTCGCAAGGGCTGCGTGGGGCGACACGAGGGATTGTTGTCTTTGTGTGTCTGTGTGTCTTGTGTCTGTGTGTCTGTGTGTCTTGTGTTTGTGTTTGTGTGTCTTGTGTTTGTGTGTCTGTGCTTGTGTGTCTGTGCTTGTGTCCGTGTGGCGGGATCGGTGGCGCAGTGGTTAACGCACTGCGCTGTGAACCCGGCGAATCGAGTTCGATTCCCGCTCCCAATCAACAGCAGTGGTGCATATTTCACCCAATACTGGCCCTCCCCGAACTCAACTCGGCCTTAAATGAGCACCCGGTGCCGTGTGCTGAGATCAGCACTGGGGAGACAAAGGTGGCCGCGCGGGGTGATGGCCACCCGTCCCGGCGTGTTCCGTGTCGGCATTGAACGATGCTCCTAGCTGACAGCACATCCCGCGACCACCTCACGGCGTGCACACAGAACGAGCACGAGGCACGGCTCACGGGGAGTGTTTTATTGGCACAGTTCGTGACACCGCGTGACTTACACGACCAGAGGCAGAATTCGCCACACTCTACGACGAGATCGCTCGTCACACGTCAATCAAGATGATATACGTTATATAGACTGTGATGATCATATGTATATATATGTACTGTAATTGAGGTATAATTGTATATAAATATACACCATCAGCTTGCTTTAATTGAGAACCCCATTAAATATGTTTAGTTTGCTTCGTTTGATGTCCTTCCCCCGCGCGGGTGGCTGCGCGCGGTGCGAGAGAAGTTCAACGCAGAGGGGCACCGACATCCCGGATTGAAGCCAGGACCTCGGCGGGTGAGGTAATGATGGGAGTGAGATGTAGGGGGTGAGATGGTGCTGGGAGTGAGATGACACTAGGAGTGAGATGTAGGGAGTGAGATGGTTCTGGGAGTGAGATTACGCTAGGAGTGAGATGACGCTGGGAGTGAGATGGTGCTGGGAGTGAGATGTAGGGGGTGAGATGGTACTGGGAGTGACATGACACTGGGAGTGCGATGGTGCTGGGAGTGAGATGGTGCTGGGAGTGAGATGGTGCTGGGAGTGAGATGTAGGGAGTGAGATGGCGCTGGGAGTGAGATGACGCTGGGTGCTGTTGGCTGGCTGGCTCCAGGGTGTTGATGCAGGGCGCCGGTGCTGCTGGGTGTCTACGACCTCTGTATGGGTTGTTGAGCCGGGGGTTCTTTGAGCTCCTGGGAAACAGAGCGAGACGAGCCACGTGAAATTCACGCAAACTGACACACAACAACAACAACCGCCATTCGCCACTAAGTGGCGGTGACGTCACCACGACGCTTGTGCCAGGCCATGTGCACCTTGAGGCCACGTGAAGTGTCGAACACAGACTGACACGCTCAAAAACAAACACTTTGACGGACTGTTGGGGCGAGTGCTTTGAGCGAACACCACGAAGGCCGGCGCGGCACACGAGGCGGTGAGTGGCCAGCACCACGCCCGGCCACCGGTATCGCCCTAATGGCGATGTTTACACTCGCCAGGTATTTGTTTGAGGCCGAGTCGACCTACGGGAGGACCAGGGTCGGTTCAGATAACCATCACTGGTGTTGGTCATAAACATGAATTGAACTGTGGTGTCTGGGTTGGGAGCGCAGCGCGCTACCCGACGCGCCCACAAGCAGGAGGAGCCCCCCCCCTCTGCCCCCCCCCTCTGCTCCCCCCCTCTGCCCCCCCCCCTCTGCTCCCCCCCTCTGCTCCCCCCTGCTCCCCCCCCCCTCTGCCCCCCCCCTGCTCCCCCCCCCCTCTGCTCCCCCCCTCTGCTCCCCCCCTGCTCCCCCCCCCCTCTTCCCCCCCCTTGCTCCCCCCCCCTCTGCTCCCCCACGTGGGTCGCAAGGCTGGCGGCGCTCGCCGACGAGGGCGTCTGACTCACCCGCGCGATCTGCACCATCGTGCACCACGGCAGGAAGCAGGCGAGCAGCAGGTCCTTGCCGAACGAGCCCTGGGCACGCGCGGACACACGGGGACACACACGCGGACGTGAACACCGCACACACCAGCCGCCGTTCGCTAATGCGTGGCGGTGACGTCACCACGGCGCTTGTGCCAGGCTAGGTGCACTTCGAGGCCACGTGACGAAGGCTCGCTGCTGGAAGGAGGCGACGGGACAGACCCAGATACCAGAGGGTAACCGACCGAGATGACCGGCAGATGCACCACCAGCTGTACTGCCCACTGCGCCGTCTCGCGACGCTTTTATCCGTCAGGCGCTCCGCTCGTTGTTGTGAGCGTCGCTCCTCACAGCACACAGGCAAGTACACACACACGTATGTGTGTGTGTACACACACACATGCACACACGCGTACACACACACGTGCACACACACGTACACACACACGTGCACACACACGTGCGCACACACACGTGCGCACACACACGTGCACACACGTGCACACACACGTGCACACACACGTGCACACACACGTGCACACACACGTGCACACACACGCCCATGACACCCGACTGCCATTGAGACGCAATGAAGAATCCACTCGCATCCGACTCATCAGCAGTGCTGCCCCTCCCGGCCGGGCCGACTCTCGCTGTCAGGCTGACGCGGCCGAGGGCAACAGCGGTGGTGGTGGTGGCGGTGGTGGTGGCGGCGGCGGTGGTGGCGGCGGTGGTGGCGGTGGCGCTGCCCCAAGGCGAGGGAGGGAGTTACGCGCACCTCGTCATTGGGGCCCCGCTCCTCGCAATGAACAACAGCCGAGCGAGACGGTGACGGGAGGTGATGAACAATGGACATGCGGCAGGTGAGGACAGAACAGAGATGCGGACAAGGTGGATGTGATTGAGGGTGACGCGCTACGTTCATCGAGCTGAGATGATGTTTGACGCCCTCGTTTGTTCACGATTCCCTTGGGGGGGATGGGGGGGCCTTGAGCTGCTTGGGGGGAGCCCTCCTCGGCTCGCGCCCCGAGGCGCTGCGACGGAGTTGACTCCCCCCGTGGTGCTGGCGGCGGCGTCTGTCTGGAGACGCCGCTCCGTCTCCTCCTCCCCACTGCTCGTCTCCGCGCGCTGGGGACGACGAGGAGCTGGGACCGGAGTCGCGGCGCACCGAGGCACCGCGACGTCTCGTGGAGGCTCACGGACATTCCAGGACGCGTACCGCACAGTGCGTGTCGCCCGCCTGGCCACTACGGTGCGAAACGAGTGGAACATACATGGCCACTCGGCACTGCCGATGTGGGTGATGATAGCGGTGGCGATTGTGATGGTGCTTCGCCGCGATGCTGTGTGCTTGTTGACGGCGATGGCGAGCGGTGGCGACGATGATGATGATGTTGGGATGTTGGTGGTGTTGTTACCGACGTTGTGACGTGGAGAGTGTGAAGTGGCTGACGTGAGACACAGATGTCGCCGAGGGCGAGAGTTACGGTCCAGCTTCTGCTGCCGATGAGCACCACCACCACCAACAAGGCAGGTGGCAGTGCTGATGAGCACCAACAACAACAACAACAAGGCAGGTGGCAGTGCTGATGAGCACCACCAACAACAACAACAAGGCAGGTGGCAGTGCTGATGAGCACCAACAACAACAACAACAAGGCAGGTGGCAGTGCTGATGAGCACCACCAACAACAACAACAAGGCAGGTGGCAGTGCTGATGAGCACCAACAACAACAAGGCAGGTGGCAGTGCTGATGAGCACCAACAACAACAACAACAACAAGGCAGGTGGCAGTGCTGATGAGCACCAACAGTAACAACAACAAGGCAGGTGGCAGTGCTGATGAGCACCAACAACAAGGCAGGTGGCAGTGCTGATGAGCACCAACAACAACAACAACAAGGCAGGTGACAGTGTTGATGAGCACCAACAACAACAACAAGGCAGGTGGCAGTGCTGATGAGCACCAACAACAACAAGGCAGGTGGCAGGTGCTGATGAGAGATGAAGGCGGCGCTATAGCCGCTGCGTTGCAGGTGGTGCTGTCGTTGAGACAGAGTTGGTGGTGGTGACGATAGCGGCCATGTGAGATGCTGGTGCATGCCGCTGGTGACGATGGTGGCGGTGGTGATGATGGTGATGATGGTGGTGGTGGTGATGATGGTGGTGGTGGTGATGATGGTGGTGATGATGGTGATGGTGGTGATGATGGTGTCGCTGCTCACATCGATGCCGCGCATCTCCCGCGTCTTCTTGCGGCTCTGAGCGGTGAACCACCAGCCGGCGAAGGGGAAGACGAGGCAGCAGGCCACGAAGCTGCCCTGGCCCGTGTCCTCGGCGTTGTGTCCGGCCGTCACGCACGGCGCCAGCCACGTGAGCACGCACAGGCTGCAGTTCTCGAAGCAGCCGCACAGATCGTAGGTCCACTGGCCCATGGCGAGGGGTCGTGGCTGGTGGCCCAGGAGTGACACCGCGAGCTCCCGGGGGGCTTGGTCGTCCGAGAGGAAGAGGATTTGGCCGTGGCGTGGAATCCCTCCTCGCTTTATAGGGCGGGGGGGGGGGGGTAGCCCCCACCCACCCCCCGTCTACCCAGTCCCACCCACAGTCCTCGCCTCACCTTCGCGCGCCCGGCTGTGCGAGCGCGTGGGAGGAGGAGGTGGTCACGAGTCGTGGACAAGAGACACGCGGAGGAGGTTTGCAGTGAGGCAGTGGGTGGGTGGGTGATGGAGGAGGAGGCGAGGATGGAGCGAGGTGGGTGCGGAGCGAAGTGGGTGCGGGGCGTGGAGGAGTGCTCTCGGCTACACCACGCGGCGTCTGTCTCGCTCCACGCGAGGGAGGCAATGACAGTGCGAGTAGACGGGTGGTGGTGGCGATGGTGGCGATGGTGGTGATGATGGTGGCTGCGCACGTGGTTGCCTGTAATCCCGCACTGTGGAGGCAGCGAGGGTTGGTGGCTCACCACGCAAGTTTGTCCATCTCTCTTCCCCGCGGGCGTCAAGGAGCCGCACCCTGGCTCGAGAAAGCAGCAGGGGGGGGGGGGGGGTATAACACTCTAAACCCGCAAAGTTCACAGAGCCCAATCGCTGTGCTGCTGTCGTCTGGGCCACCACGCGGCCCAGGAGGTCAGGAAGTTTCACAGAGATCTTCGTGATCCACCAACCCTTGGCCTGCACGGCCACCGAACCGCGGGCAGCGCGTTCACGGTGCTACCGCAAGCGCCGAGGGCCGTGCCGAGACGCGGGACGCAGCAGTAGGAAGCGGCGGCGAGGCGGTGGCGTCGACAGCTTCGTCCGTGATCACCGATTGACCGAGGCCGAGAAAACAAGGTCACCTCCATCTTTTAGACCCTTGTCCAACACGCCGGGAGGGGGGGGGGGGTCGTGGCGCTCTGGGAGAGCTCCGAATGGATTCTTCACCTCGCGACGCCGAAGGCAACAACCACGGGCCGAGAGAAAGAGGATTGGGCCCGGCGTGAACGCGGCCCTCTCCACCGCGGTGTGGACCAGAGGTCACTCGAAGAGGGATTAAGATGTAGCTCAGGGGTATCCATTTTCACGGCCCATTCCAGAACACGTGGGGGGGGCTCACACCGCCGCAAGAATCGTCTCGGGACGCCGCCAGCAATCGCGACGGATCTCCTCCACCACCCCCACCACCGCGCCCCCATCCCGCGTCCCCCCGAGTGAGGAGTCTGTGGTACGCCGGCTCAGCAGGTGCGATCACAACTCCACGTTTATTTTTCCTTGCTGTTTTTCGTACAAAAGTTCAAACGCGCGACCGGCCCAGTGCCTGCTTCAGTTCGCCCGGGCGCCGCGCCCGCCATCGTCACCACCACCACCATCGCAAGCCACAAGGACGTTAACTACACAATACGCGAACACGGCGACACGATGAGAACACAACCTACGACCACGACACAAACATTTCCGACACCCGGCTTGACACTTTCAACGCCTGGTGGACAAACCCCGCCCGCTCCACCCCCGGAACTTTACACTCGTGAAGCTGGTTTAAACAGCAGCCATCTAAACGCGGCGTGAGCAGCAGTTTGGTGTAAACAGGCGATGCCGATGTTGTTACCAGGCTCGACGCCCGCATTCACCTGTGAACAACACACCACCACGGCTGTCTAAACCCACGCTCAACGCCGACCAATTTGGTTTATGCAGGGGCCCGGGGGTCACGCACGGGAGTCAGGGGGTCACGCACGGGGGTCACGCATGGCGCCGACTTCAGCAGCTTGCGGGCATCTCTGCTCGGCGAGCGCGATCGTCGTGGCGTCACCGCGGCTTCGCGGCTCAAGCCACAGCACACGCGGGGCGCTCACCGTCTAATGCACAGATTGGTTGGAGCGCTTTCCCCTTGGCACGCGGTGGGCACTACGGCAAGAGGTGAACACAGGGTGTGTGCACGTGCGAGAGTGCACGTGTGTGCGTGCGCGCGTGCGAGAGTGCACGTCTGTGCGTGTGTGTGCGCACGTGTGCGCACGTGTGTGTGCGCGTGTGTGTGTGCGTGCGAGAGAGAGCTGGGAGCAAGCCGCGTACATTTTTGAATTCGGGGTTTTATTAGAAAAGGGGAGAGCGGGCGAATGTTTGTGTTCACAGTTTGGCTGTTGGGGTCGCGAGAGGGGGACGAGCGGAGAGGGCGCGGTGCCGCCGCTCCGCGTGTCCACACGTCTCGAGCGAGCCGCTGTCGTCGTCGTCGTCGTCGTCGTCGCCGCCGCCGGTGTCGTTCGCCTCGGGTCGATCGTCGGGTCACCGCGCCGCGCTCAGAACATGTCTCCACCGCCCATGCCGCCCATGCCCCCCATGCCGCCGCCGCCCCCCATCCCGGCCGCCTTCTCCTCCTTGGGGATCTCCGTGACGACCGCTTCGGCCGTGGCGAGCAGCGACGCCACGCCGGCCGCGTCCACCAGCGCCGTCCTCACCACCTGCGCGACGGGGACGGAGGTTGGGGGGGGGGGTCAGGGTCGCGCCAGCGAGCCACCGCGTCGAGAACGACGCCGCCGGCGAAAATAGCGACGGCGCCTCGCCGTCGCGAAACGCTCCGGACGGCAAGACGGACGCACGCCGGACTCGCGCGCGGCGTCGGCGTGGCGATGAGCGTGGCCACAAACTCGGAGCCCGGCATCGGGACCGGTCACCGCACCGCGGCGTTACGTACGCGGCGCCGAGAAGTACGATGCCGCGGCAACCTGCGGTGCCCCTTCCACCCCCACCGTGACCCTTGCCCCCCACCCCCACCGTGACCCTTGCCCCCCAGCCCCACCATGACCCTTGCCCCCCAGCCCCACGCACCTTGGTGGGGTCGATGATGCCCTTCTCCACCATGTTGACGAACTCGCCCGTCATGGCGTCGTAGCCGATGTCGTTGGACGACTGCAGGATCTTCTCCACGACGAGGGAGCCCTCCACGCCCGCGTTGCGCGCGATCGTCATCGCCGGCACGCGCAGCGCGTTGCGGATTATCTCAATGCCTGGGGGGGCGGGGGGGGAGGGCGGGGGGGAGAGACGAGTTGGAGAGTCGAAGGGTGAAGTGAAATGGCGGGAGGGGAGGCGAGCGGGTACGGCGACCGAGCGAGCGCGGCGAGCAGGTGAGGAGCCGAGCCGGTGCGCGGTGAGCAGTGGATGCGGCGAGCACGGTTAGCGTCGAGTAGCGTTGCGGTGAGCTTGGCGATTGTGGAGTGCCGTGAGCGCCGGCGAGCGCCAGTGGCGAGTCGTAGCGGTGCATGGCAGCGAGCAGTGGCGGCGCCCCGCCGCGCCTCACCGATCTTCTGGTCGCTGTTGGCAGCGGCGACGGCGTCGAGCGCGGGGAGGCAGCGCAGTAGCGCGCAGCCCCCGCCCAGCACGATGCCCTCCTCCACGGCGGCGCGCGTCGCGTTCAGCGCGTCCGTCACGCGGTCCTTCTTCTCGTTCACCTCCACGTCGCTCGTGCCGCCCACCTGGCGAGGAAGAGGACACGGATGGGGATGGAGGAAGAAGTTGTGGCGGGCGCATTCCACTCGGTAAAGTCAGACGCTGTCTTTCCGACAGACCTGCTTGCGTTGTGGCCAAAACGTCGTGAGAATTGTATTTTATAATGTTTAAATTTTATTATTTTATTATTTCCCTTCTACGTGATTTTACCGAAAGAACCAAGAAGATGAATCCCTGCAGTCACGAAAGCTTTAAATCAAAATTCACTGGACACACAGACAGTGCGTACGTTACAGATTTAAATTGTTTGTGTACGTGTCATGAGCTTGCTACGCTTGTGTCAGCGAGTGGGTTAGGTATCGTACCCGCCTATGTGCATGCGAGTGTGTGTACTTGTCACGAAGTGCGCTCGCTCTGTGTGTGCGCGTGCGCGCGTGTCCATCGACACCCTTATACGTGAGACCCGGGAGCCAGAGTGTAATTACATGCAAAGAGCCCAGCGGCAGGAGGGAAGAGAGCACCCATAATCAAATCATCGAGTCTCGTCAACGCTTTCCTCATCATGAGGCTCAGGGATGAGCCGGAGCCAGACCGCCGAGCTGCCACGGCCCTGATCATGGCTTCCAATCGCCGAGGTCCAGACAGAGACCCGTAGGCTCGCATAGAGACCCATAGACTGGACAGAGAGACCCGTAGGCTCGCATAGAGACCCATAGACTGGACAGAGAGACCCGTAGGCTCGCATAGAGACCCATAGACTGGACAGAGAGACCCGTAGGCTCGCATAGAGACCCATAGACTGGACAGAGAGACCCGTAGGCTCGCATAGAGACCCATAGACTGGACAGAGAGACCCGTAGGCTCGCATAGAGACCCATAGACTGGACAGAGAGACCCGTAGGCTCGCATAGAGACCCATAGACTGGACAGAGAGACCCGTAGGCTCGCATAGAGACCCATAGACTGGACAGAGACCCGTAGGCTCGCATAGAGACCCATAGACTGGACAGAGAGACCCGTAGGCTCGCACAGAGACCCATAGACTGGACAGAGAGACCCGTAGGCTCGCATAGAGACCCATAAACTGGACAGAGAGACCCGTAGGCTCGCATAGAGACCCATAAACTGGACAGAGAGACCCGTAGGCTCGCATAGAGACCCATAGACTGGACAGAGAGACCCGTAGGCTCGCATAGAGACCCGTAGACTCGCACAGAGCCAGGGACCGGCTGTGGTTAAACCGGATTCTCTGGTGAAGCCAGGCTGCGTGCGACCCCCCCCCCCTCCCGCCGCCGCCGCTCCACGGAGTGACGAGGCCTCGGCTCCGTGAAACGGTCCCTTCCCGCGCCGCTCACCTTGAGCACGGCGACGCCATCGGAGAGCTTGGCGAGCCGCTCGTTGAGCTTCTCCTTCTCGTAGTCGCTGGTCGTGGCCTCCAGCTGCTCCACGATCTCCTCGATGCGCTTCTCGATGGCGGCGCGCTCGCCCTTGCCCTTGAGCACCATCGTGTCGTCCTTGGTGATGGTCACCTCGCCCACGCGCCCAAAGTCATGCAGCTGCACGTCCTCCACGTTCACGGACAGCGCTTCGTCGCCAAACACCTGGGGGGCGGCGCGTGGGGTGGGTAGGGGTGACGAGGGGACGGGCGACGAGGGTGAAGGGGGGTGTGGGTGGAAGGGGGGTGGAGGGATGAGAACGGAGAGGGGATGAGGGAGGGAGTGTGGAGGAGAGATGAGAGTTAGTCAATATTATTCCACGTGTTTACCCAGGAAATCTCAACACTCAATATCAGTTGGGTGCTGCCCAGATGTTGCAGTAGGGGGCGATGTTGCTTTGTGCGTGTTTCCCAACTCGGTGAATCCATTGAGTAATTGTTTTATCTAGCCCCTGACGCCGGCACACAATGGCCGCCAGCGCCCGCGGCTGCACTGCCACCTGCTGGCACCGTGCGGCAAGCACGTTCAACCGCCCCCGCACCGTGGGAGGAGAAGCGGCACGCGCGCCACCGACAAGGCAAACCCCCGCGTCGCTACGTACGGTGCCGCCGGTCGCCACCGCCAGGTCCTTGAGAGTGTTCTTGCGGTTGTCCCCGAAGCCCGGGGCCTTGACGGCGCAGACCTGGAGTCCGACCTTGAGCCTGCGGAGGGGGGGGGGCGGGGGCGACCTCGGCTCAGCGCGACCGACAACGCGCGCTCGTCTGGGGACAATCCGTCCGTACGTCCCTCCCTGCGTCCATCACTCCTCCGCCGTCTGTGCCGCTTGTCCGTTCGCCCATCCCACAATCACCCGAGATGGGGTCAGGGAAATTCGCGGACGAGCAGGGAGGAAGTCGAGTGACGAGTTGAGAGAGCGATCAGGCGAGTCATTGAGCGGGCGAGAAAGCTGGTGGAGGAGCGAGCGAGAGAACGAGCGGGCGAGTGCGAGGTCGCGCGGTCTCCGTTCGTCCCGGTGCAGTGCGCGCGTACCGGTTGAGCACAAGGGTGCTGAGCGCTTCCCCGTCCACATCCTCGGCGATGATGACGAGCGGCTTGCGCTGCGCGTTGGCCAGCTCCAGCGCCGGCACGATGGACTGCACGCTTGAGATCTTCTTCTCGCTGATCAGCAGGAACGCGTCCTGGAACTCGCACTTCTGGCCTGCACAAAGAGAAATGTCCCCCGCGTAGCCTTGAGCGCGCTGTCGGGGCAAGAGCCGCGAGCGAATAGCGCCTACGAAGAGCCGCTTGGCTTCCGGGTCACGCGACCTTTAACCTGCTCGTCTCCGCGAGACCGCAGGAGAGAACAAAGCTGGAGGCGCCGCGTCGCTCCGGCCACGGGGGCGGCCGTGCGCCTGCCGCCCCGGCGCGTCGCACCCGGGGTTGGTGGATCTCGCAGAGATTCGAGACTCCCAAACCCCGCGGGGGCCCAGACACGGCCAGGCGGTGGCGCCGTCAGACGTGTCGAGCGACATCCACCGGGGTGGGGGGGGGGCGACCTCCGGGGGCTCAAATTCCCTCCCACCCCACGAAGCAAAATGGTGCAGCAGCAGGAACCTCCCGGAAGCGAGTCTCGAGACTCGGCGCGGCTTGGCTGGGTAAACGTGGTGGTGGTGGTCAGTGTGGGCGTCTCACCCTTTGCGGAGTTGATGAAGTAGGGGGAGATGTAGCCGCGGTCAAACTTCAGTCCCTCGATAATCTCGAGCTCGTCGTGCAGGGTTTTACCATCCTGGAGTACGCAGCAGCACCACAGCACACACCACAAGCACGGTCACCACCACCATCATCACCACCGTTTCCATCGCAACCACCATGGTCACCACCACCTCCGTTTCCACGATCAGCGCCGCCGTCACCGCCACCGCCGCCACGACCGGCACCATAATTCACCCGCGATCCGTCACGGTACGATGGCACCGTGCAATTCAAGACCCGAATCTCCTCGCGTTGGTATTCTCCATCCCCTACGAGATTCCCGTCCGCCTCGCTCCGGACTCGCATTCCAGACAAAGCAGTCGGAACAAACGGCACAAAACGAACCGATTCGAGAATCGCCTCAACACTGATCGAGGGCACAGGAACGTCAATCGACCGACCGCTCCACGCACGGAGCCTCGGCCTATCCACTGTCGTGACCCACGTGACCCGGCACAGGGCGGGGGTCAGAGTGCACGCGACGATGTCAGCGGTGCCCCCCGCCCCCGTGTCACGGCGCCCCCACGTCCCCCGCACCACAGCGCCCCCCACGTCGTCACCTTGACGGTGATGACGCCCTTGCGCCCAACTTTCTTCATCGCGTCCGAGATGAGGTTTCCGATTTCCTTGTCCCCGTTCGCCGAGATGGTGGCCACCTGTCAAGACACCGCATGTGGACAACGAGCACCGGTTAGCCAGACGGGCGGGGCAGGCGCTGGAGTTAGCGAGCACCTATTCAAGCCGGAACGGCACACGAGCGGGCGGTGTCGCGAGGAACTCGGCTGCCCACCCGCCTACCCGACCCTCTTTGTATCCCCGTGCCAAAGGTTTTAAACAGTGTACCCGGTTCGATTTCGGAAGGCCAAAGACTGCCTCGGATATGAGGTGGCACTGAAAGTTAATTGTGGCTGCGAGATGAACTCGGGTCGGGAGCAAGACAATGTGGTGCTCTTACCACACAGACGAGTGTGCACATCCACACGTGTACAAGAGCAAACACGTGTGCAAGATCACACACGTGTGCAAGATCACACAGTGTGCAAGATCACACGTGTGTGCAAGAGTACACACGTGTAACAAGATCACACACGTGTAACAAGATCACACACGTGTACAAGATCACACACGTGTACAAGATCACACACGTGTACAAGATCACACACGTGTACAAGATCACACACGTATACAAGTGCAGTTTTTATAGACCCATGGGGGCAGGTGTTTTTTCCAAGCACCTATTAAGGCCGGCATGGCACATGAGCGAGTGGCACGCGTGTGCTAAGCACGACGGGAGGCCGTCGCGCGCCGCATCTCCGTGATCACGGCTCAGGCCGCGAGCGATCGACCCCCCTCGGTCCCCGCCGTCGCCACGAGTGCCGGCGCTTACCTGCGCTATCTCCTCGGGCGTCGTTACAGGCTTGGAGTGTTTCTTCAGCTCAGCCACCACCGCCTCTACGGCCATCATGACTCCTGCACACGCACGGTGATGGCGAAAAAGTGAGACGCAGGCACGGGGGGGGGGGGGTCCGTGGACGTCCCCTGGCCCCATCACGCCCCCACCCCCCCCGGGGGGCCCCACCGGGTTCATTGTTGTTTCAACTCAAATCGGATTAACAATTCCCACAACCAAATTTTAACTTTGACAGCTTAATTCCTTTGGTTGTGGTCAGGTGGTGGAGTGTCTTATGGCACAAATTTGAGCCGATTATTACATAGCAACCCAAAAATCTATTGTGAACCTTAATATTAGTTACAAATTTTTTACTATATTACCATTATTATAATAAGAGTTCATGATTATTATCACCAGCCATGATCAATCCACTACTGAAATAAAGGCCTCCCCAACACCATCTCTGACAATCCTGCAATACCAAACATCCAAACCACGGCAGGATCCCCCCTGAAAATGAGTCTTGAGCCTCGAGGAATCCTTGCCGGATAAACGACGCAGATCGTCATCACAGGAGCCGACGCGCAGGGAAGTCGCTGTGCCAGGAGCACGACTCCCTGGCTCTATGACTACGACGTGACCTCCTCCTGTGAGGACGGGAACCAGTTCCCACCGGTTTCCCATCCCTGTGCTCTACAGGAACCGGTTCGGACCGGTTTCCCGTCCCTGTCCTCTTACGGAACCGGTGCGGAGCGGGCCCTGTGGTCACGCTTATTGGTGGCCGTGCTGCCAGAGCGATCCGGTACAACGCCAGTGCGGCGCGAGCCCGTCCTGCTCACGCCGCCCACAAACTCTCACTGCCCGTGCTCCACCACCGCCGCCACCCGACATGCGCCGAATTACACCATTCCGGCAAAGGAACCGATAGCCATAATTTGGGGGCTTTGAATGATGGATGAATTAAACTAACATTATCGACGAACGTGCGGAGGTTTTGTAATTTACATTCCGCGGCGCGTGCTCCTTCCATTGGGAGTGGCACCGCTCTCGTGAGCACGAGGTCAGCTCAAGTGCAATTACGCTACGGAAGATCCAGCCATCGGCAGGCGCCGAGCGGTTGCGCCGTCGCGCAGGGCACAGCACTGTGGCGGCAGACGGTGCTGCGCCGGTAGGGGGAAGGGGCGGCACCCACCTCTGCGGATCTCCACGGGGTTGGCGCCCTTGCTGATCTTCTCGAAGCCCTCCTTGGCGATGGCGCGCGCCAGCACCGTGGCGGTGGTGGTGCCGTCTCCGGCCTCCTCGTTGGTGTTGTTGGCGACGTCCTGCACCAGCTTGGCGCCGATGTTCTTGAACCGGTCCTTGAGCTCGATGGCTTTGGCCACCGTCACGCCATCCTTGGTCACCTTGGGGCTGCCCCAGCTCTGCTCGATGATGACCGTGCGGCCCTGTTTGCGCGCGCCGATGCCGCCGCTGTTAGCAGGTGCTCGGCGTGGGAACCCGCGATGGCTCGGGTCGGTTTCAACAAGAATCACCGATTCCCAAAGACGGGAACCGGAATTGGATGCCAGTGGAATCGTAAACACACCAATCGGCACGTACAAAAATACAAACCGCACCGCGGTAGGCCCAATGGCTCGCTTACGCTACTGCTGGTGGAAGGCTCCTCCAGCACAGCGCTCTAGAGTGGACAGTACTTGGTCTACTTGTTCACCCGAACCCGATGTGTCGCAGAGGTGGGCGTGCCCACACTGTACCAAACCACACGCGACCTGTGCCCCCATTCATGCCGCTGGGTGGACAGAAGCGGATTTAAGAAGCTCGCCGGGATATGGACTCTAACTGGCGTCCTCTGGATCCCAAGTCCCACATCAATAAAAGCAAACAACCACCACCGCCATCACCACCGTGTGCGAGCCCCATAATTCTGCACGCATCCTTGCTCGAGTGATGCGGTGGCCGCGTCGCACCAAGGGAATCGAACCACGTGTTTGGATCTGTGCAGGGATTCTACCCGTGGCCACGAGAGCCCAGAACAAACATTAAACATGCAGAGGAGAGATACCGAGCCGGGGGTCAAGGGTCATGCAAAATCCACAAACCCACAAAAAAAATAACTAAATTATTGATAAGTCAGGGTTTGTTTTTCCAGAAAGCAGACAATTAACGAGAGAGCGAATGGGCTGAGCAACGCAGAATCGGGCTGAGGCGAGCGAGCGGGTAGAAGGCCGGGTGAGCAAATGAGTAAGTGTGAAGCCGAGCGAGTGAGCTAGCCAGCCAGTGAGCGAGTGTGCGAGCCGGTAGGAGACGGAGCTAATGAGAAAATGAGAGAGGGGGTGTGAGGCCGAGTGAGCGAGTGTGCCAGCCAGTGAGCGAGTGACCTGGTCGGAGGCAGAGTGAGCGAGCGGATGAGAGGGTAATTAAGAAAGTGATTTAAGAGGTGCGAGCTCGAGTGAGCAGGCGGAGAGAGGAGCGTGGCCTGTGGAGAGCTCGCAGTGAAAGTGGGTGGGCAAGCGGAGAGGCGGGCCAGCGGGCAGTTGGACATGCGGGTGAGCTGGCGAGCCAATGAGCGGGCGAGGGCCACCTTGGGCCCCATGGTGACGGCGACGGCGTCGGCGAGGAGGTCCACGCCCTGCAGCATGAGGGCGCGGGCCTCGCTGCCGAAGCGGACGTCCTTGGCGTAGGCGCGGGCTCCCCGGGGGGGCGCCAGGGCGCGCGTCACGGGGCGCAGGGAGCGCGCGAGAGCCGGTACACGGAGCATCCTTCTGCAGCCACCGCGGTGGTGAACAACAACAAAGGGGCAGCAGGAAAACCGGTCAACAACACGCATCAATAACTCGGGTCACATGCGTTACTGCGCAAGGTCACATGCCCAAGCAGCTTTTGTAAAGGGGCGTGACACGGGCTGGAGAAGAGATGGGCCGATGTGGACATGGAGCCGAGTGGACTCGCCGCTGTGAGAGGTACGAGAGCCTCGATGGCTTCCGTTGAGCCGCTCGGCGCGCGTGCATCCCCCCCTTGTTTGTGGCCGGGATCTTTGGGTGGCAGGGCGCCTATCGGGGTGGGGGTGGGCCCTGGTAGGGGAGGAATGTGGGTGGGGGCCCTTTGCCCACAGGCCCAGAACAAATGTTTTACTTGATGGTCCCACTGAGATGGCAACACTCGAGTGTGGGAGTTGTACCGAAGGATTCAAATCACCAATGAAAGTGAATTATTCACGAAACTTGTTTGATGAGAACGACATCACCCTCCTAGCCGCATACACAGACTGGCGACTCCTGTTTGCCTCCACACGCGGTGCCCACATTCGCCTCTGGCGAGGATGGGCTAAAGGTCCCCTGGGGAGGATGGGCAGCCCCTGGAAGGGGAAGACTCCCAGAGGGGTAGGGGACCCCTCGTGGACTGGGGTACTAGGCTGAGTGGACCCCCCAGTGGGGGTAGTGACCCGAGTGGGTAGGGGTCCCGATGGGTTTGGTAGAAATGCTGGTTGGGTCTCTGCGGGGACCGCTGCGACGGGCAACACTCTGGGGGGTGGGGGGACCCAGAGGGTTGGTGGTGGGGGCGGGGTGACTGGATCAGGCGAGCCGAGATGAGGATCTTCTGCTGCTGCTGTTTAGAGAAAGTTCTGGAGTCGTAATCAGCCGTGTGACGCAAACCTCTCGACACGCGCGGTGCCCACGACGCACATGGGGGGGGGGGGGGCTCTGCTCCACCATTCTCTTCTCGGGAGATTCTTGCACCGATGCATTAATATCGAAGCACATCAAACAGGCACCATTGTAGCAATCTCTATACAATAGTTTGTTATTCTAACATTACAAGGTGTGCGTTTAATATTGGTGATCTAACCTCATACCCCAGAGTCCTTGACTTGCAATCCCAAGGTCACGAGTTCAAATCCCAGTCGGTAATCAACCCATTATCACAACCATCATAATCATCCATGCTGCTGAGTCGCAATACAAATTTGTGCCGACTGTGCTTGTCCTACTGACAGACTGGGCACTGTCGTGGGAATGTGGCATTCCCACTAGTGGCTCATGGCTGACATATCTGACGAGTCATCATAGTCCTGCGTGAAGGGGGAGGAGCGGTGAACGAGTTCCCCGCCAGAGCAGCGCCACGCGGCTCCGGCGTGTCGCGTCCCCTTGGATCTGACAACAACACGTGGTGGTGGGTGGAGGAGGAGGAACAGCTGGGATGACCTCTGCACCACGTGGCGCCAGGGTCAATGAGCGAACTGGGGATGATCCCATTACGAAACCAACCCTCCACCACTCATCGCCAATTAATCAACTCGCTAATATCTCACGCGTGGGTCAAACAACGATCCGGGAGGGGTCCGCGAACATGAGACGAGAGCGGCGCTTATGTAACCCACGAGTAATGTCTGACATCACAAGATGGTGAATGCGGCTGCGCCAGGCGAGGCCGAGGGGTTGTGGTGGAGCGGAGAGCGCGGCCACAGCGAGGCCAGCGCGGGGTCACCGCGCCGGCAGCGACGTCTCCGCGTCTCGCCATCGCTTCCTTCCCTCTGCCGCATCAAGATGTTGCCAAATTCACGTCGTCGGCCATTATCTATCCACTGCGGGCCGCTCCCCGTCCATCTCACTCCCGACACGTGGACTCTGCCCCCTTGGACGCGCTGCACGAGTTGACGACTGCAGCCGTCACCGATTGCCAAGGGCTAGCGGCGTTAGCGGCGCGGAGATGCAGCGCCGGTCACAGTCGCTAACCCGTCCAGCAGTGGATACAGATCGATGCTGCTGCTGGCGAACCGCACGTGCAGTGCACGTGTACCCGCAGTGTCCCGCACCGCGTCTTTATACCCACGCGACTTTAGGAGCGGTGCCCACGACAAACTAATGAATGGGTGAAGTATTCCAGATGCCTTCATCAAGCAGTGGACTGGCCGTGTCTGTAACTATGATGCTGATCGTCGTCGTTATTGGCGCGCGGCCTGCAAGGAGGGCTCTCACCTGAGTTACTGTGGCACGAGGTGGTTGCTGCTGCTGGCTGCTGGTGCTGCTGCTGTTGCTGGTCCACGGCGTGGAGTGACACCGCCTCGGAGCTGCAGGGCGAATGGACGGGGCCGCGTGGAGCCCAGCGACCACGTGCGGTGCATCCGGGCACCGGGCGCGGGGCCCCGAACCCTGCATCGCGCCGCGCCTCCCGTTGCCGCGCGCGCGGCCGCTGCCGCTATGCAGGGTTCGGGGCCACCCCCTCCCCACCCCCTCCCCGCCCCCACCCCCACCCGCGAGGATCCCCCGCTGCTATTTCCGGCCCCGCCCCATCTCTCGGCGTTTCCAGAAAATTCGCTCTGACCTTGATGCGTGACGCGGCCCGAGGACGTGTGCGTCCGCACCGCGCAAATAATCCCCTCCGCCCCTCCCCCCCGGCCCATCAACTCCGCTCTGGGCGGGGAGCGCCTCGCTCCGCCAGCCGATTGGCTCACCGAGCAGCGAATGAGCTCCGTCGGCGATCGCTTTGGTCGCGGTTGTGGCTGCGCGTGACGCGACTCGCTCTCCGGCGCGGCGTATCCCTCCGCGCCCGGTGGGGTTACCGCGCGTGCGCAGTCGAATCCGCGCTCCACGTGGTCAGGACGGGATCAGCTGAGAGTCATGGTGAGCGCCGCGCTCTGCACCCTCGACACAAACTAACGAGAATTAAGCTGCTAATTAACCGCCAATTAACTGCTAATAACGAGTTGATAAGGATATCGGTCTGGCGCGTTCGTTTAGCAGCTCTGCGTGCTGTCGCAGCGCTTGTTACTGCCGTGGTGGTGATGATGATGCTGATTGTTGTGCGCGTGGCTGGCGCGATTGCGTTGTTTGCCATGAATGACACTCCGTGTGCAATTGCAATTTCAGTCGGGAACGCTTCTGCTGCAGTTGTGATGGATGTTGTAATGTACCACCTGTCTGGTGAAGGTTGATGTGTGGTCGGGTGGCGCCGTGGCTAGCGAGGTAGTTGCGCTATGATCCCCGGCGAAACCCGAGTTCAAATATTACCGGCCTCGGCAAACATGAGTGCCAAGTGATGAGTGCCTCTGACCAACGTGGTTGAAGTATGGGGAAGTATTCAGTCAGCAGTGGATAGACCTGGGGGGGGGGGGGGGGGGGGGGAGGAATTGGCGTTGAAGAGTGCTCCTCGTGTATGGTTGGTGCTGTGTGTCAATGGCGTTGTTGCGTGAGGCGCGGTCCATTGTGCAGTGCTCGTGACGCAGCGCGCCGCTGCTGCTGCCGATGTCTCTGCGCCCTCGGTGGGCGCGGGATCTCGGAGGTCCGTTCCACAATGAGATTATTTTGACTTAAAACTTTCGTGACTGCAGAAATGAATTTTCTTGGTTCTTTCGACTTTACCCAAAGAACCAAGAATATGAATGGGATTATTGGCCGTCCTTGGTTTAATGGGGATATGAATTGACGCGATTATCCGGAGGAATGATGAATGATCAACGTCTTTGGAGGAGGATGCTGGTAATGGTAACGCTCTCGGGAGCTGTGGAGGACGCTGATGGAGCCGCGAGTCGTCAGACGAGAGCGGAGATGCTGCTGACAGTCGCAGCTTGACGCGCGCGGGCGCGTTTGACAGAGTTTTAAGGATGGCGGAGGAGGTGATGGTAGTGAGCACGTGCTTTGGATGCGATGGTGTTAATGACGGTGACGGTGGTCGGGGTTTATTTTCACACACAGTGTATTCCTGGTCTGAGTTGGCACGTGACCTGCAGTAGCCACAGCTATCGCGAGGTGTTTACCGATGGCGCTGTGCCAGGTGCGAATCGCATACCTGGACAGACCGGGCAAAAATCAGGACCTTGGTTGTGCTGAGAGAGATGGTCATCCGTGGCCCTCTCGTACCGTCCCCTCCACCCCCAGGCAGCTCAGGCGTTCAAGCGATTCCTGCCCATGTTTGACCGGGTCCTGGTGGAGCGCTTGGCCGCGGAGACCAAGACCAAGGGCGGCATCATGATCCCGGATAAGGCGCAGAACAAGGTGGTGCAGGCCACCGTGGTGGCGGTGGGGCCCGGCGCCACGACGGAAGTGAGTCTCGCCGGGAGGAGACGCGATGCGCACTCGGCTCACGCGCACAGCCCTCGCTCAAAGCAAAGAGCGCGCAGAAATGACGGGATACATGCACCCTGTTGATTCGCTCTGCAGAAGGGGCACGTGAAGCCCTTGAGCGTGAAGGTCGGGGAGAAGGTCCTGCTGCCCGAGTACGGCGGCACCAAGGTCACGCTGGAAGACAAGGTCAGCGCACCACGTGGACACAGCTGCATGCCTTTGCGCCTGACACCGGCAGCTTTGAATGATTACAGAGGGGGGGGGGGGGGGGAGATTAAACATTGAACTGCTTTGTATTGACGTAGAATTTTTGGCTATTCGCGTGGTTTGTGCAACAAAAACATGAATGCGGCGTGTTTTTTTTATGTAGACCCCACATGACGTGGTCTCATTTTCTCTTTTAGGAATACTTCTTGTTCCGAGACGGTGACATTCTTGGAAAGTACGAGGAGTAGGCGGGCGTGTGGCAGGCGGGGGTGGCGGGGCTGGGGAACAAAGCGAGAGCTGAAGAACGAGGGTGTCGTGCAGCCCACACGCCTCGTTTATTCCGCGCGAAAACTTGTCTCACGATTCCGTCTGCGTGATGACAGAGGGGGAGGTTAGAGGGGGGTGTATGGAATGGGAGGGGGTGTATGGAATGGGGGCGGTGAGGGAGGGTGTGTGGCAGTGTCGCTGGGTCCTCATGACCTTGAGTGCCGCGTGCTGCTCTGGAACGTTCCGCACGCCGGGGACCAGGAGGGGGCGCCAGCAGCGCGCTGCCTGCGCTGCTTTTCCAGAAAATAATAAAACGTGAAAAAAATGCAACCTTTGCCTGAGCATGTAGTGTTTTATTTACTCTTGTGGTCTTGTTCAATTAACACGTGGTCATCGGTTCATAGCCATGCGAGATGTTACACGAGGATGCATTACGTCAAGATAATTACTGTGATTTCAGACCACGTACAATGTCCGGAAACCCCAACGAGTTGTGGAATTTCCACTGCTGGCTCAGGGCTGTAATAGGAGACAAGTTCGAGGCCCGGCACTCGTTTGAGCCAGGGGACGACTACGAGGGGGGCTCTGCTTTTGCCCAGACAATGCAGCCTTTGTGTGATCGGTGCCTCACTCCTGAATCGGATTAGTGGCAAGTGGTGGCACTTATTTAATTGTAATACATCTTGCATTGGGTGCAACCCAAGCCACACATCTCTGGAATCAATATGGGTCGTGCTAAGTATGGCATTTTATCATTTGCCCGTCGTGTTCTCGCCACTTTAGTTGAGCCCCCCTCCCCCCACACCTCCGATTAGCACCGTTGGCTACATGCGGTGCAAAAGAAGTTGAACCAATACTGTACACGAGACTGAGCAGCGCATTCCCCTGTGCTCTGGGGCTCCGCAGCAGCGGTGCGGGTCACAGCGTGCACACTGCAGGAGATGACGACGGGTGACAACTGGAAGAGTGAAGGGTTTGTGATGGCTGGATCTCCCCTTCAAGTGGCAATTTGTGAAGACTCGGTGTCTACTGAATATCACGTTTTACCATTTGGCCAAACACCTGTACATCTAAAGTCATTGTAATGTCTTGTTCAATAAACTGGTGTCTTGTCTCAATGTCCTGATGCGACTGCCTCGACTTCTATTCATGTTTCTCCACCCTCCATCTTTGTCTATCTGATCTCACCCTCCGTCTCATCAGCCATGATCAATCCACTGCTGGACGAAGGCTTCCCCAAAGCACTGCCACCTCTCGAGATCCTGCAATGTGACTGCATCCAGCACCTGCAGCCTATCCATAGCTAGGACCAGAGCAGCTGTGATAAAACTTGGTAGAGCAATGGTTATACTGGTAGGAACCTCCTGGTTACACCAGCCCACAGCAGATTATTGTGTCCATGTCATGCATCCAAAAATGGAGGGGTGGGGCTGGTCACGCCGTGGTGCCCTTATAAAACTCAACGTTTAACCTACTCACGCCGGCTTGTGCCCACCCTCAGTGGGGCATATTTGCAGAATACACCACGCCGCCATTGACCAAGCAACCCAACGTTCCTACCAGCTCCCTCCGCAGGAATGTGTTCGCGCAGCAGTTGGCTCGCTGATGGCAGTGGGAAATGAGCACACCACCTTGAAAAGCCATGTGACCTTTCGTTGATTGGAAGTCGCCCACTCGAGGGAGGCGCAATCAGATTTCTTCAAATTACAGCAACATTTTATACATTAAAATGGTGCAACAATTTCCATTAATTTCCTACAAATAACGCTCATCACCTTAATCATGTTCAATCCCAACCCAATATCCCATTTTCCCCACACATGATCATGTCACAGGTATGAGCAAACCCATCAGTGCCCCAATATACCCCAAAACCAATTCTGATTGACAGAAGCAGTACGTTTCAGTGGCAGTATTATTCTCCACTGCTATTTCAAAATCTTACACCTGAGATTGCCAGGTAGCTCAGATCAGAGCACTGAGCTGGCTCCACGGAGACCCTGGGGGTTTACATCCATCCAGGCAGCACCCTCCAATTAAAGCGGATCCTCGAGTGAAGGGAGGGTTTGTGGTCTCGGCCAGGCTACAAATGACAGAACAAAAACCTTTCGCATGAAATGTGGCTATACGCTTCATTTGGCTATATTCTATCTGGGACTAACAAACACGGTGCGTGAAGGATATAACTCAGCAGCAGCAGCTGTGGCTGAAAGAGGGCTTCCTACCGTGTAGAAAACAGTCACAGGTCGTTAAGTGGTATCCACTCTCCCGTGAGATATTTTACATGAACGCATCTCTGCCAGAGATCCCAATGGATACTTCGACTCACGGCACCAATCGCACAATCGGGATATTGGTGGAAAAACAACTCGATAAGAATCCTGGTGTATATCCGACACTTGACCGCGCACCCATTCACTGCAGCACCGCGCGATTTGCCGGATTGAAACGAGGGGCCACACCGCTGTAAACGGGAAAAAAACTGGTGTTTATTGTAAGATTCGGAGCGCACGTTCTTACACGGGGGGGGAGGGGGGCACGCAGATCCCCTAGGTGTCGAGGCCTTCTATGTGCACAAGCCATTGGCCAAAGTCCCTTTGCAGCCAAGAAGAAAAACGACAAAACACGATCAAAATAAAGTTTACAGGATTTAGCCGTAAAATATTTCCTCGAACAAGGTGACTGCATGTCTGAGCAGTGGGGTCAAGAAATTTATTTTAAAAATAAGCATATAAATACTGTATAGCCAGACAAGAGAGAGGAGGCCCACTACGTGGTCAGTGAGAGGAGAGATGGTGATGATACCTTCACAAACCTGATGATCGGGCCCCGTGTGAGTGGGAAAGCTTGGAGAGGACAGCACATTCACCAGATTCACCGGTTCATTTCTTAGAGGAAAAAATCACAGCAGCCAGCTCGTGGACACAGCTTACACCAGAGGTGTCAGAGATCGGGCTGAACGGGACCAACAGAGAAGACTAGAGCCATTCTAGTAAATTCCGCTCAATATATACTGTAATTTGTATACCTAATAATTACATATGCTTGGTTTAAAACGTTATTATCTCACCCTTCGTCTTACAGTGCAGACATATCCCTGATGCTCTCTATTGTTCGTGGAACAGGTGCACGATTGGCGGGATGACCAGGTTTGTAAAGCACACGTTGGGCTGCGATGACTGCAATGGTGGTTGATATGGTGGGGGGGGGTTTGTGCGGGTATTCTGCTGGGGCCAGGCCCGTGTGCAACACGACGCAACGCAACAGGGCTTGATTTCTCACCGAATAGTTTCCCGGGTCGCTGTAGAGACTGGAGTGGGAGGCACGTGACTATTAGCCAGCCATAGCAGCGAGAGGGTTATACTGGATGTGGTGTGCCGTGGGGCGCGGAAATATTTTCCGGGTCGTGGATATCTTAAATATTTTCTGAAGCCAACCCGGACGGACACGGCTGAAATCAAGCCCTGGGCGCGGCGCGATGTTGGCGCTGCACCGCATGCGGTGCGCTCAGCCGGATTTCTTGCCGACGAGCTTCATGAGGCCGTCCGTGCTCATAGACTTGGGCCTCTCGAGGGGGAGGCCGAGGGCCCGGTCCCACACGAGGGAGGCGAGCACGCCCAGCGCGCGCGACACGCCAAACAGCACCGTGTAGTAGTTCATCTCCGTCATGCCATAGTGCTGCAGAGACACACGGGGAGACGCAACGGTTACGTACAGGGAGACGCGACATTGAGAAATCATGAGACATGACGGGGAGACACGCGGAGAGATTGGACGAGACAGACGGGGAGAGGCACATGGGTAAGATATACACAGCGAGACGCGACAGTGAGACACGACGTTGAGACAAAGATCCCCCGTATGGCCTTACCAAACTGTTCGGGAAAGAGCTGTTCACAAGCACCTACTAAGGCAGCCACAGCACAGGTGGCCAATACCACACCCGGTCGCCTTTGTCTCCCCAGTGCTAATGTTCACACACCGCACCAGGTACTCATTTGAAGTCGAGTTGACCCAGGGAAGGCCGAAAACTAGTTACAACACTTGCCACTTATTGGTCATAAGTGGAAATTGAACTTGGGTTGCCGGGTTCATAGCACAGTCCACTAACCACTGCACCCGCCACCCCCCCGCCCGTGTGACGCAACGGTGAGACACGACTTTGAGATGCGACAGTGAGACAACGGGAGGGCCCGGTCAGACACACGGTGACAAGGCACGTCTGCGAGTAATGACGCTCTCAGCCCAGGTGCATCGATGGTGCCAATGACAAAGACGACAATGAACATGATGACGATTGCGACGATGGCGACATGTGTGATGATGATAAACATGTTGACACGTATGACGAACTAAACAACGACGGCGAGGATGCTCATTACAATGATGGACAGCCACGATTACGACGACGATCGCCGCAATAACGGCAACGATGACGAAGATGGCGGAGGCGAGGCGGGCACCTGCAGCAGCACGCCGCTGTGCGCGTCCACGTTGGGCCACGGGTTCTTGGCCTTGCCCTGCTCCAGGAGGATGTTGGGCACGATCTCGTACAGGTGCGACACCAGGCGGAACATCGAGTCGTTGGGCAGGTGCTTCTGGGCGAACTCGCGCTGGCACATGTACCGCGGGTCCGTCTTGCGCAGCACCGCGTGCCCGTAGCCCGGCACCACCTGCACCGCCGGCAACGGTTCATTCATCCGGCAACGTCACGATTCCTGTTTGTTTTTGGGAGCTCCAGACGATTGGAGGTAGCAGTCGAGAATTAACTAATTATTATTTTAATTTGCGACAGCACGTCTAATGAGGAGATGGATCGATTAGATCAGCCTTCGTGCAGGTGCTATATGCACTGTTACATTACAGGAAGCGTAGGGTGGCGGCGGCTTGGGGAGGCCATCATCCAGCAGTGGATTGCCCATGGCTGCTACTGCTGCTGATGATGAAGCCAATGCGCTCAGCTTAATTTATTGTCCCAATTAGCGGCACCACACCGCTCAAGCGTGCAATCCCGCACACACCCGCTAGGAGCGGTGCGCTGAACGAGGAGATCGTGCAGCATGGCGGAGGGCAGTGCAACAGCGCCACCTCGCGACGTTGCCCAATCACAGGCGACGCGGGTGTCAACATTCGCCCCTTCGAGATTCAGTGAATGTTTGCAATTCCAGAGTCTTGATGCATTCAAGAATCAGTTCGACTTTAAACAGTGCTGGGGAAGCGAACCGTCCCCTAGCATCTGGAGGAATTACGAGAACCCAATTAATACGACGCACAAATCTAAAACATGCTAATTCTTACACCACCACTCCAGACACGTATCATGAGCCAAGCAATGCAGATTCATATCCATGCGCCGGCCATCAATAAAAGTACTTTACAGCCAAGTGAGTAAACAACTGGAGCTGTCTGTGGAGCGAATCCATCGAGGAGACAATAGCAGACTCGGCGGACCTGGGACTGTTATTGTCGGCAGACCAGGATTGAGAGACTGGGGAGAGGAGCGCCACTAAGACTCTAAATCAACGAACGATCGACTGCCTGGCCACGGCTCGTGTTGACGGAACTGACCCGGCCGCTCTTGAGCGTGTTCCAGATGAAATCACGGAGCTTCTCGATCGGAACATCTGCGCCCAGTTCCTTCTGAAGCTGCGTCAGCCACACGAGCACCTCCTGCGCTCACCGCACACACACACACAGTGTCAGCATCGCTGCCATTTCAGATTTACAACCACGCCTCCCGCACAGCAACTACATCTCGAAACACCGGGACAGCAAGGAAGTGACCACAGACCAAATGCAACACGCATCACCCTCCCTGCAGGACCTCTACGGTTGTTAACCAAATGTTCAATTTGGATGATTGTTTTCAGAATCAATCATCAATCCCGAGAGCGATGGAATCGATTATCCGGTTCATTGCGATGACTGAACTCCACACCAACGTTCAAACTGTGTGGCGCATCCAAACGTGATTGAAATTTTGATGTGGCAACTTGATCATTATCAAAATTTAAACTTTTTAAAACATCGTTATTGATTACATAAACATGCAAATTTAACCATACTAAGGCCCACCCCCACATTTTGACATTATCATCAGCCACGGTTATTCCACTAC